GGGCAGCTAGCGAGCTGCTCTAGGGGCCGCGCGAGGCCAGGGCGGGCTACGCGTGGGCGGCGTTGACGGCGTGGGCGGCTACGGGTTCGCGCGCACGAGAAACGGGCCGCGCGCGGGCGGCTAGCGGGCTGCGCGGGCGGAAAACGGGCCGCGCGCGGGCGGCTAGCGGGCTACGCGCACGAAAAACGAGGCGCGCGAGGGCGCACTAGGAACGAGGCGCACGAGGGCGCGAGGAAGGAAGGGCGCACGAGGGCGCTTCTAGCGGAACGGTGGGCCCTTAGGAACGATCGGTCCTAGGTTCCTAACCTAGGCTCGTAATACCATGTCAGAATGAGAGAAGTGTGTTGACTAGAAACATTGGGAGTACAAGTAGGAAAACCTAGAAGTTGTACACCCTAAGACTAAACCCACTATAGCCTACAGAACACAAACATATACAATGTTTGACAGTCCACTCGCTCGTCGTCAGTGGCACAGTCCAGTTGTGAGGCAGCGTTGTACGCTGGTGCTATGGCTGCTCAGGAGCTTGCTCGCTGACTTAGGTGAGCCGCCTAGCGCTGCCCAGGTCCTACTTGCTGATAACAGTGCCATGATCCTCCTGTGTCAGGGGCTTAGACTAGAGGGCAGAGCAAAGCACATCTCGCTGTGGTACTTCCTGTTACGTGAGCTGCAGCAGTGTGGTCAGGCACGCATAGTATACTTGGCCTCAAAAGCCGGCACAGCTGATATCTTCACTAAAGCGCTCCCGCCTCGTGATCGTCAGCGGCTATGCACACACCTTGGCCTTGTCCCAGCATTACCTCACTTGCTAGGATCTTGATCGATGTACAATGTACGTGATTTTGTATGTTTATACCTTTTGACTGGCCTTGTGGCGCTTTTCTCTCAGAGGCTGGGCTAGTAGTACCGCACTGAGTTGCACCTCATACACTGTGTTGTTGTTGTTGATTGGCCTCAGAGGCTAGACTAGTAGTGTCGCCCTGAGTTGTTTCCCATTCTCTAGGGACTGCCTTTGCCCAGCTTAGGGGGTGAGTCAACATAAGCATATGCATTCGCATGTGTATTGTTTAGACTAGGTTGGGTTGGACTATAGAGGGTATGCATTTGCTAGATGTTCCCTCTCTGTATGTCCTGATTCATCATTCTCAGATTTTTATAGTAAGTAACCCCCTGGATATAAGACCCCCTCCAGTTGTAGAACTCTGGGTCTATATTATGGGGGGAAGGGGGGTACTTTGTGCCAGTTGTAGTCATACCCCCCTTTGCGGCTGAAAACATTATAAGACCCCCCCACCACCCCATCTATACAGGGAATGTGAGAATGAGATAGTTTTATAATAGAACCGAAGCAATTTCTAGAGGACAACGATATTTTTCCCCTTCCGATGAAATCGTGTAGGTATCGTGCGGTGAATGTTGTACATTTTTTGTTCCTTTCGCAACTGCCAGGCCGATGAATTCAAGTTTGACCACTGGCGAGAGTTATGCCACCAGGCAAATGCCTGAGAGTGGGAACATTCGTACCCTCGCCCATATTTGAGGCAAAGGTGCGAAGTACAACTAGCTATATAAACAACAAACATGCATGTCAGATTTCTAAGGTTTATGCCTTTGAAATACTGACGGAGGGTGTAGAAAGGGGCGAGAGGTGGAAAAGCTGTACATTTGTATATAAACGGGGCATCTAGTGGCGGGGTACAGCAAAAGCAGTGTCGAAGCAGGGCGGGTGACTGGGCAGTGGGGGTAGCACCAAGGTGAAGAATGAATCTGGGCGGCGGGCTGAGCTGGGAGGGGGTCTGGCAGCTGGTTGGCAGCGAGATGACATGGATGTGCTGGTTTGCGAATGTCGTGGTGTGGCGTGCATGTGTGTGTTTCGTTTCTCTTGTAGACACCGAGTCCAGGAGGGAGCTGGAAGACTTTACCGCCAGCTGGAGGCAGGAAGGGACAAAGTGGATGGCTAGCTAGGTTGATATAACAACTACCAATTGTTAGCCTTGCCTAGCTAGGGTTTGAAGTGGGAAGCATAAGGTTGCGTCCTGGGCCATGGGACTGCCACTGCGTGTTTGTTTTCGTGAATACTGTGATTTCTTTCTGAGATAAGCAATGCCCAACGAAGCCATAGCCGCAGTCAGAATGAGTTAGGAAGGTAATGAACATACAAACACGCAGTCTAGTTGATGCTATTGCGATCGGGCAAGCAGCTAGAAGCAGTGGAGAGAAGGCAAGGGAGAAGGGTAACCATGGTGGAAGGAGCGGATGCGCGGCAGGGAGTGAACTAGCCGCCAGAGCAAGGAGATACAGGAATGCGGCTAGTGACGGAGTGACCGGCCCGCAAGGCGGCACTCGTACAGAGCAGACGGGTGGCGGAGCAAACACGCCCGGGAGATCGGAGGAGCGCCAGCGGATGCATCCACCCCCGCACTCGCAGCAAGGAGGGCCAAGTGGATATCAGCGAAGCGCCTCCTGGCAAGGTACGGAGGATGAGACGGCGGGGCAGCGCTGGAGATACACGCAACTACCGAAGATCGAGGTGCTAGAGAGGTTCTCAGGAGACATGAGGCGCGGTCCTAGCCTAAAGAATTACATCATGCAGCTGGAGAACTTACAGGCGCGTTGGGCAAAGGATCGGCCCGATCCAGAGGAGTTTTTCCAAGGCCTGGCAAATACGTTGGCGGGGGAGGCGGAAACCTACTATCGAATCTCGCGGAAGGAGCTGCTGGAGTGGGCGGCTGGAAGGGCACCGGGCGAACGGGATCCGACGGCTCGTTTCTTGACGATGCTTCGCGAGCAGTTTCCCCTGCAGACTGCGGAGCGCGTTGTGGAGTTCCGGGGCTTCAGGCGGAGAGAAGGGGAGTCCCTGTTGGCGTACTATGGAAGGCTAGTGGAATTACGGGAAGATATGAATTGCCTAGATCAAGGACGACTGATTGGCAAGTTCATACATGGCTTAGGCCAACCCCTACAGCAATATGTGCAAGTGCGCGTATTTGAACTGGGACCTGAGGCGTCGCTAAAAGAGGCGTATGAGATCGTCAAGCGGGTGGAGACCGGGTGACGGCTGTATGAGGTGGAGCGCACGGCGGAGAGAGGACCTGAGAGAAGGCGGCCAGCATGGGCAGCGACGTCAGCATACCCGGAACCGGAGGAGAAGGGGAGAGAAGAAGTGCGGCGCTGCCATAATTGCGGGCTACCGGGACACCTACGGCGAGACTGCCGGAACCCGGCGGCGTGCTCATTGTGCGGAAGTCGTGAGCATATGCGACGGGAATGCCCAGGGGCGCCAAGCTGTGCTCGTTGCGGGCGGAAGGGGCATCGGGAGGCAGACTGTTACGTGAATCGGAGGGAGCGACGCGAGACAGAAGGCGGAGAGGACAGACAAGCCACGATGGCGCGATTGCGGGCGCAGCTGGCGGATCTAGAGGCAGCCGAAGAAAAGCAACCCGCCATGGTGGCGCAAGAGGAGGAAGAGCCGGATGAGCCGGAGTTCATGCTGATGGCCCAGCCGGCAAGAGATCGGGAAGAGTTAGGCCTGAGGGGAGCCGCGCGAAGGCAGCTGTTTCGGGAGGACGTGCGGAGGGAGGATGGGCCGAGAATGCGGGCCAGCGAGAGCGGGGATGCGGAAGGAGCAGCGTATCAACACCCACGCGAGTGGATGATCTGTCAAGCTACGGTGCTGACGATTGAACCAGGGGCGATCACGGCCGGGGGGCTAAAGGCGCAACGGGCGATCGTGGATATGGGGGCAGCGCATGTGCTCATCGGGAGGTGCTTGGCGGAGAAACTACAGCTGCACAAACTGGGGCGACTGATAACTGAAGGTTACCTGCTGATGACAGCGGACGGTGGAGAAGCGAAATAGATGCCTAAGACCAGGCAGTCCATGGCGCTGATGCTAAATCCAGGGACGCCGGAGGAATGCACACTGAGGGTTTACTGCGGAGTGTCGGAGTCAGAAGACTTCGACCGGCTAATAGGAATGGAATATCTTTTCGGGATTGGTTCCACGATCTGCATGTGGGAGGAGAAGGTGCAGTATCAGGTACCCCATCAGCATGCTGCCGGTGCGATTTGTACGCAGGGAACCACGGGAGGCGTACCAGTGCACGGAGGCGGAGTTGCGCGAAGAGCTGGGGGTACCCACGTGGCAGCAGATTGCAAGGATGCTGGCGGCACCATCAAGGGAAGGCGAGGGGGAAGCAGAGCTAAAGGCGCTGTGCACGAACACGAAGAGGCTGCTGGGGCCCACAGTCGTGCTGGAGCTGTTCGGAGGCATCGGCACAGGGCTAGCGGCGGTGTTGAAGTCGGGGGCGTACGTGGAAAAATGGATATTGGTGGAAAGTGACATGGAGGCGGTGAAGATGGCATGGTGTCACGCCGACAAGCTTAAGAAAAGATACCCACACCAGTTCTGCTCGGTGTCAATGGAGGCGAGTGAGCAGTGCGGGGCCTGTGACATACGGCACGTGGACGAGGCCATGATACGGCGTTGGGGCAGGATCGACGTGGTGATCGCAGGATGGGAGTGCCAGGGCTACTCGCGGGCGGGAGCAGGCAGAGGCATGCGGGACGAGAGGAGCAACCTGTTCAGGGAGCTGGTGCGAGTGCTGAGACTGATAAAACGGGTGCAGGGGGATGTCCTCTACATTGTGGAGAACGTGGATATGGAGGGGGATATCAGGGAGCAGGTGCAAGTGGCACAAGAAGAGGTCACAGCAACTCTGGGCCCGGGCGTGGTGGCGGATGGGGCGCAAGCGGGTAGTAGGACCCACCGGGTACGTCGCTACTGGACGAATGGGGTGAGCGAGGCAGCACTGCAGTACCGCCTCGCATTGATGGAGCGGCCAGTACCACTGCTGGTCGAAGATATCTTGGAGCCAGGTAGGATGCCGGCCCCAGTGACGCGTCCCGACCATCCCACGCAGTTTCCGTACAATGAAGTGGGAAAACCGAGGCAAGCATGGCCCACGTTTGTGTCCTACGAAGGAGCAGCGGCCTTCAAGATGCGCGACAGAAATCCGGGACCGGGCATGGTGTATGACTGCACCGCGGGAGAATGGCAAGAGCCGATGGCGCTGGAGAGGGAACTGGCCATGGGGTTCATGGAGGACGCCACGGCTCATCAGGAGGTGACGGAAGCAGCAAGGAGGAAGGCCTTGGGAAGGGCGATGGATCTGAATGTCATGCATTGGTTGGTAGCCATGTCAGAATATGTTGTTTGTGTAGCCTGCAGTGGGGTACTCTATAGTGAGTACAGCCCCTTAGGGTTTGCTATTTGTATCCTGCTGCTTGCTAGTTCAATCATTCCTTCTCGATTCTGTTCCTGCACACAATCCTAGCTCGTACTTGGCTCCTCGTTACTAGTCCTACTGTGGCCTAGGCTACTAAGCCTAGGCCGTAATCCTACTACTTCTGACATGGTATCAGAGGGCGGCGTGTCTGCCGCCTTCCTGTGTATGGGCCCACCACCCGCTTCCGCTGCCGTACTGTCCGCCGCGCGCCCCGTGGTGCGCGGCGGCGAAACCCTAATTTCTGCCCGCCGCGCGCTCGGGGCGCCTGGCGGTTTTCCCTTCCGTGGCGCCCGTCGTGGTGCCCTTGGGGGGGCCTCCGCGGTCCCCTCCCGTCGAAGCGCCCGTCAAGGCGCTCTCGGGGACCCGCGCGGCCCCCCCCCCCGTCGCCCGTCGAGGCGACCTCGGGGACCCGCGCGGCCTCCCCTCCCGTCGCCCGTCGAGGCGACCTTGGGGGCCCGCGCGGCCTCCCCACCAGTCGCCCGTCGTGGCGACCACGGGGGCCGCGCGCGGTCCCCTCCCGTCGCCCGTCGAGGCGACTTCGGGGGCCGTGCGCGGCGCCCTCCCCGTCGCCCGTCGTGGCGACTTCGGGGGCCGTGCGCGGCCCTCCCCGTCGCCCGTCGAGGCGACTTCGGGGGGCCCGCGCGGCGCCCTCCCCGTCGCCCGTCGAGGTGGCTCTGGGGGCCCGTCGAGGTGGCTCTGGGGGCCCGTCGCGGCGCCCTCCCTGGTGCCCGTCGCGGCGCCCCGGGGGGGGCCGCGCGGCTCCCTTCTCGTCGCCCCTCGGGGCGCCCTGGGGGCCGTGCGTTTTCCCCCCCCGCGGCCGCCCCTGGAGCCGCCCGCCACTGCAGCAGCAGCCCCTGGAGCCGCCCGCACCTGCAGCAGCCGCCCCTGGAGCCGCCCGCCAGTGCAGCAGCCGCCCCTGGAGCAGCCCGCACCTGCAGCAGCCGCCCCTGGAGCAGCCCGCACCTGCAGCAGCCGCCCCAGGACCCGCGCGAGCTGCCTCTGCAGAAGCCCGCCCCGTCCCCCCCCCCCCCCCCCCCCCCCCCCCCCCCCCCGGTGCTGCCCATTGCTCCCATTCCACCGTGCGTTCCGCGGTGGCTGGGGTGTGGGGTGGCGAGCATGGGGGTGAGAGGTGTGGGTTCTCCCCTCCTCCTTTTTTGTCTCCCACTGCTGCAGCTGCCGCTGAGGGGGGTGGAGGTGTGGGAGTCGTGGGGAGTGGCACTAGGGGGGTGATGTGGGAGTGGAGCTAGGGGTGAAGCAGGGGGTGTGTGAGAGGGGTGTGGGACTGTTGGGGGAGGTTGAGTGGAGGCTGCTGTCTTGTCGTCCGCAGCACCTGTAGTCCGGGGCGCACTGTCCTGGTAGCTCAGAGAGCCTGCTGCACCTGTTGCCCGTGGGTCCGTTGCTCCTGCCGCTCGTCGCAGCCGCAGAGCCTGTTACTCCTGTATTCCGGGACGCACTGTCTCGGTAGCCACTGAGAGCCTGCTGCACCAGTCGCCCGTGGGTCCGTTGCTTCTGCCGCTCGTCGTAGCCGCAGAGCCAGTTACTCCAGTATTCCGGGGCGCTCTTTCTCGGTAGCCACTGTGTCAGCCGCCACTGTGTCAGCCGCTTCTGTTGCCCGTGTGTCTGCAGCTTCAGTCGTCGCCTCCCATCTTCTCTCCTTTCATAGTCCCTCCTCCTCCTCACTTGCCCTCTGTGATAGCCTCTAGCTTTGCTGATAATTATGAACTATTGCTATGACTGCTCATTGTGCTGATTACACCCCACTTTGGCTATGGGGGTGTGTCAGAATATGTTGTTTGTGTAGCTTGCAGTGGGGTACTCTATAGTGAGTACAGCCCCTTAGGGTTTGCTATTTGTATCCTGCTGCTTGCTAGTTCAATCATTCCTTCTCAATTCTGTTCCTGCACACAATCCTAGCTCGTACTTGGCTCCTCGTTACTAGTCCTACTGTGGCCTAGGCTACTAAGCCTAGGCCGTACTCCTACTACTTCTGACAAGCCACAATCAGGATGTATCACTCACAGCTGCGGTGGGAGCGGAAGCGGGATAAAGCGGCAGCCATACAACCGCCGACAGAGAGGTCAGCGGCAAAGGAGGCGCTGGCGCGGGCCATGCTAGGGGAAATGGAGGACAATGAGGAAGTGCAGCAGGAGCGAGGGCATCCGCTGGAGAGGAGATGGGTGTATCCCTGGGAGGAGGAGGATGAGAGACCGGCGAGTACGCGGAGCAGACTGAGATCTGGCTCTCAGGAGAGCGGGAGGAGGCGGCGGTGGACAAAAAGCGTGAGGATTTCAGTTGGCTGGAGGAAGCCATAGAAAGGCAGAGAAGCAGGGAGAGCTATGAGAGGGAGTCCGGGACCCGAGAATTATCCCTGATGGCAGCTACGAAGGAGGAGGAGGAGACCCCGACACAAGGGCAACTCGCGGAGGAAGGCAAGAGCGGGAGCGAGGGGCCAACGGAGCAGGCGCCGGCGGGAAGCTCGCGAGGCGCGGAGGGTGGGGAGAGCCAGCCGCAGCGGAAGGAGGAGGAAAGGGAATGGGAGATAGGCGGGGGGATGTCAGAAGAGGATGCCTCGGAGCTGAGGAAGGTGCTAGCTAAGCATCGGCAGGCTTTTGCATATACATTGAAGGAAGTGGGAAGATGCAACATGGCGGAGGTCACACTAGAGCTGACCACGGAGATCCCAGTGTATCAGCGGCGGAGACGGATGACAGCGGAGGAAGTGCAGATATGCACGGAAAAGTGCAAGGAACTCATGGAGGCGGGCTTCATTCGGAAATCCAACTCGGAATACGCAGCGGCGACGGTGGTGGCGGCGCGGACGGACCTGACAGGGAAGGTGCTGTCTAAGCGCATGTGTGGGGACTACAGAGGGCTAAACAAGGTGACCGTCATGAGGAGGTACCTGACGCCCATGCCGGACGAGATATTCGACCAGCTTGCAGAGGCGCTGGTCTTCTCCACGTTGGACTTGCGGCAGGGGTTTAATCAGATCCCCATAGCAGAAGCAGACAAGCGGAAGACGTCCTTTCACAGGCCAGATGGGCAATACGAGTGGAACTTCCTGCCGTTCGGCTTGAAGTCAGCCTCACCTGAATTCCAGCGGGTCATGGACCAAGTGCTGAGGAATGTTAAAAATGCCGCGTGTTACATTGATGTCATTGCCTTCAGCACTGATAGCCGTTCCCACGTGCAGGACGTGGAGGCGGCGCTGAGCGCCATCCAGAGTGCGGGACTCACCTGCCATCCGGGGAAGTGCAAGTTCGGGCAGACCACGGTGGGCTACCTGGGATTTGAAGTAGAAGGAGGGAGGATCGGGATTCGGAAGGCGAAGGTGGAGGTGTTGGATCGAGTGGCTACGCCGAAGGATCGGACTACGCTACGAGCCCTGTTGGGCTTCCTGAATTACTACCGTAAGTTTGTCCCCAACTTCAGCAGCCGTGCAGCCGCGCTGAATCAACTACCGAGGGAAGACCAGAAGTGGGAGTGGGGCCCGGAGCAAGAGAGAGCGGTGCAGGACCTCATGGGAGCGGTGAAAAACGGAGCAGTAGTGGAGCTGCCAAAAGCGGACTCTCCGTTCACACTGTACACAGAGTGGAGCAGCGCGGGCATGGGGACGGTTTTGGCACAAATGAAGGGGGAGGTGGAAAAGGTAGTGGCCTTTGCCAGCCGTAGCTGCAACGCGGCGGAAGCCAACTACTCGTCATACGAGGGAGAAGGACTCGCGGTAGTGTGGGCGGTGAAACACTTCCGGGTATACTTGCAGGGCAGAAAGTTTACCTTGGTGACGGATCATCAGCCGCTGCTGTGGCTGATGCAGACACCGGATCTGACTGGGCGTAATGCGAGGTGGGCAATGAAATTGCAAGAATATGACTTCGAGATCAAGCACTGGCGGGGGAGAACAATGCAGCACGTGGATGGTCTCTCGAGGAACCCGCTGGAGGTGCAGCCGTCTGCTTGTCTGATGGCGATGGCAAAGGAAGCAGACCGGGGACAGGTGTGGGGAGAAATGAAGGGCGGCCCCGCGGACATTTGGAGAGATCAGGCAGCCCTAGCATGGATCCAGGGGGCGATCACGGAGGAAGGGGCAGTATCCGCCTGGGTGCGGGCACGGGGCGAACACTACCGCTGGTTCAAGGAATTGATGCAGCTGAGGACAGGGGAGGGCTGGAAGCATGTGCCGCCACCTGGAGAACGGGAGGGCATCATACGGGAAGTACACACGAAGCTGGGACATTACGGGCCCTTGAGAACGCAACAGCTTGTGCATACAGGATGGTGGTGGGCAGGCATGCGGCAACAAATAAAGGATTCGGTGTGGAGATGCGAGGCCTGCTGCAGGAATCGAGCCGTACTGGAGCGAGAGAAAGCAGAGCTGCAGCCACTGCCCATAGTGAGTCTGGGCTACAGGTGGTCGCTGGACATAGCAGGAGAGCTAGCGGTCACCACAAAGGGAAGGAGGTATATTCTCTTAATGGTGGAGCACGTGAGCAAGTGGGCCGAGGCAAAGCCGCTGGTGCACAAGACAGCAGAAGCCGTGGCGGAGGCGTCTGAGGAGATGGTGGTCACACGGCTGGGGGCATGTGGAGAGGTACTGACCGATCAAGGAACTGAGTTCAAGGGGGCGTTTGAGGAGTTGCTGAAAGCCACGGGCATCAGGCATCGCAGCACCTCGCGCTATCACCAGCAGAGCGACGGGCTGACAGAGAGACTGGTGCAGACAGTAAAGAAGGGGCTGCGGGCCTATGGGGAAGAGCACAAGCGGGACAGGGACAGGAAACTCTGCTGGTTGATGGCGGGGTACCGATTCAGTAAGCAAGCAGCGTTGATAGACGTGTCGCCATACTACCTGCTGTTCGGCAAAGAACCAGTAATGCCGGTGGGAGCTCCCAAGCTGCTGCTAGATGTGGTGACCACGGGCTCGGCAGAGAAATGGGTGGCGGTGGCAGACGCACGGGCAGCCTATCTGAGGTACCTGCTGCCAGCTGCAATGGAGAACCTACACGTGGCGCAGCTTCGGGACATCGAGAGGTACAAGCAGCGGCAGGAAGGAGGCGGGAAGGGAGCTGGGGCAGGGGTGCAGGAGGAAGAAGAGGTGTACCTGAGAAGGCAGCGGAAGCATGCGTTGGATGTGGGGCTGTCGCAGCAGCGGTGGACAGTGAAAGAGGTGAAGCCATCAGGAGTTATCGTCCTAGAAGATGGGAAGGGGAAGCGCGTGGCAGATCACGTGACTAACGTGGCCAGGATTCGCACTGAGAAGGAGAAGGCAGCACCCTTGGGTCCCATGACGCGCTCGAGGACGGCTGCAATGTGTCATGGGAGGGGGCAGGAAGGGTCTGAACATGAGCAGGACAAAGGCAAGGGCAAGAACAAAGTGGGGTGAGTAGGCTAAAGGCATCACTGAGGGAAGGGAAAGGAAGGGAGAGGTGAGGAGAAGGTCAGGCAAGACGGGCGGTCAGCAACAAGAGAGGAGAGAAGGGGCGGAACCGTTCTATCAAGGGAGGGGACATGACGCTTGTGTGAGGAGGTTTCCGACAGCTGTCAGATTTCTAAGGTTTATGCCTTTGAAATACTGACAGAGGGTGCAGAAAGGGGCGAGAGGTGGAAAAGCTGTACATTTGTATATAAACGGGGCATCTGGTGGCGGGGTACAGCAAAAGCAGTGGCAAAGCAGGGCGGGTGACTGGGCAGTGGGGGTAGCACCGAGGTGAAGAATGAATCTGGGCGGCGGGCTGAGCTGGGAGGGGGTCTGGCAGCTGGTTGGCAGCGAGATGACGTGGATGTGCTGGTTTGCGAATGTCGTGGTGTGGTGTGCATGTGTGTGTTTCGTTTCTCTTGCAGACACCGAGTCCAGGAGGGAGCTGGAAGACTTTACCGCCAGCTGGAGGCAGGAAGGGACAAAGTGGATGGCTAGCTAGGTTGATATAACAACTACCAATTGTTAGCCTTGCCTAGCTAGGGTTTGAAGTGGGAAGCATATGGTTGCGTCCTGGGCCATGGGACTGCCACTGCGTGTTTGTTTTCGTGAATACTGTGATTTCTTTCTGAGATAAGCAGTGCCCAACGAAGCCATAGCCGCAGTCAGAATGAGTTAGGAAGGTACTGAACATAGGGAAGTGTCTGAACATGAGCAGGACAAAGGCAAGGGCAAGAACAAAGTGGGGTGAGTAGGCTAAAGGCATCACTGAGGGAAGGGAAAGGAAGGGAGAGGTGAGGAGAAGGTCAGGCAAGAGGGGCGGTCAGCAACAAGAGAGGAGAGAAGGGGCGGAACCGTTCTATCAAGGGAGGGGACATGACGCTTGTGAGGAGGTTTCCGACATGCATTTCTTTTTTTTTTTTCAATGTCGTATCATAAGCCTCAGGTCTGATAAAATAAGTGCCATTTGTTAAGACCCCCCACCATTTTCTTTGAATTTAGAATAAGACCCTAGGGTCTTTTATCCTGAGGTTACGGTATGTACGTGCGGCTTTCAGCAAGTGAATCTCGGTGCTGCAGTATTTGTCTTCAAATTTACTGTAATTACCCGGGTAATGGACCCCCCAAAATTATAGACCCTTAGGTCGTTAATTGTAGGGGGGATCTGATGCTATAACCACTTTCGTAATAGACTCCACTTTCTGTAACGAATCCGGTTTAGACCCCCCTCACTGTATACACTTCAATGTTGGGCGAGACTGTTAGCAGGCCACATATTACTGTAGCGAAAAAACTTTACTTGACTGCAAAATTTGATTGCTCACTTGCCGCACGTCAGCACGTGGTCGAAATTTTCCTGCCTCAACATTGAAATTCGCACTTCTGGTGCTGTAACACTAGTATTTCATCTTCGTTTAAAATAAAATGCACATAGGATTAGACCCCGGTGTTGAAATGTACTTGTATACATTAATATCATTGCCTACAGTAGATCCTAGGGTAGCTATTTTTTTCCTGTAATGGTGGTGCACCTTTGCTTGCCTATATCTTGTATCTCCTTTCTTTTAGTGAACCCCTCCTTTTGTCAGTCCTCTCGACAATATCCCTCAACCATCCTACTCTCGACCTCCTAAGCTCCTCCTCCTAAGATAGTCTTCTAACATGGTATTAGAGCCTTAACCTCCTTATGGGCCCACTGTTTCACGCTCATTTCATGGCGCCCGTCACGCCCTTGGTTGCGACCCCCGTCGCCTCGCGACCATCGTGACGAACGAGATGGCGAGCTCGTTCGCGGCCCACCCGTCGTGCTGCCCCGCCATCAAATGCGCCCCAGCCGCCGCTTTACGACGCTCCTCCGTCGAGCCCCCGTTTCGCTCCCCAGGCCCTCTCGCGCCC